CTTTTCCAACTCTTCTTCCCCTCAGTAAACTCATATACACAACAGTTTCTTGAAGGCCCGCCATTTTCCTTCAAGGAAGCCCAATTAAAAATTTACAGGCCTCTGAAAAGGAAATTGTCCTGTGCTCCCCTGCTTTACCAACTGAAAGACAAACTCATTTCTCACAGAGGAGCAGACCAGAGGAAGACTGCGCAGTAGCAGACCATGAAGGCTCATCTCGTGTTGCTGAAAGAAAGAAGCAGCTTGTGACATCGGTACCACAGCTTTTAAGACTGTCTCTCTGCTAGCTGGTAAGATCTTAAGTAGGCGGACAGCAGAATTGCTGAGATTAGGCAGTACTTTTGTATATCCTTGGTGGGGTGGGTTTTGGTTTATAAGTAACCTTGCACATGTTGATACAAAAGCTATCTAAAGAAGTAAGAAAATTAAAGGAAAATGCTCAGTATGTATTTGTTCTGATAGGATTTAGTTTCAAACAGCCTGTTAGCAAGAGACTGCATCTAAAATAGTCAGGGAATTAATCTCTCTTCCACAACAGGTCGTATCCAACAACAAAGAAATGGTAACAGGCTTGTAAGCAGGGAAATAAAACAATCCCCTAGTTGGAACTGGCTGGCTTCATGCAACATCATTTGCTGTATGAATGCTGCTTTAAAGCGGTACGTGAAATGGTTTCTTTTGAGCCAGAACGTGTTGCCTCACTGTCCTGATCCCAGAGAGGCTCTGCTGGACTGCACAGGCCTGCTGCTCTGCATCATGCAAACTTCGAGGAGAGACAACAAACTCTTCCACATGCAAGTTCAAGATAGAATTGAGATGGTTCTGTATGGCTTTGGGTGCAGTGAAGTAGGAAGCAGCAACCCATGGTAGGAAAAGAACAGGGAGAATCCCAGAGGAGATCTTGAAACACCCAATTCAGCGTGGGCAGAAAGCCCATCTCTTCCTGCCAGCACTATGCTGAGGAAGGAAAAAGAAATGCTGAGACTGCACCAGGGTCCAAATCTGCATTCTTCTAGCACTGGATCTGCTTCCTAGGCCTAACTGGATCTGCTTAGGACAGGCCTAAACTGCAGTGGGCCATGGCAGAGCCCTGTGCAAGTAAGGAGTAATCTGCAAAGGAAAGTACTTCTTTCTCTGCTACCACCAGAGATGCACTGTGAGCAGGAGATCAAATGGGTATAATTAATATTTACAGCAAGGAGGGCTCTTGTGATTCCTGAATTTTTAATACCAGTGTCAACAGAACTGGATGCCTCTTACACAAAGCTGAAGAAAATGAGACCCGGATAAGTAAGCTCCATTATCTCCAGTTACAGCCCTGCAAAACATTGATAATTAGTTTACAAGCATGCAGAGATGAGAGAGATATTCATGCTCTGCAAGCTGATGTGCTGCAGTGGTGCTTCAGAACTCTAATGCTGATCTTTTTCTCTGGGACTTTAAAAAAAGTTATTTTAAAACCTGGATCCCACTTTTAACCCAAAACAAACAGCCCCTCAGTATGTGAGCACACATCCTGGACATGTTTACCTCATCACTGCATATGAAGTAAGGATCCAAGGTATGATTTAAAAAAAAAAAAAAATCCAACTAAAGTGACCTGACCAAGGCAGTTTGAAATCTGGCCATTATCCAGTGCCTCATAGTAAGTGATCTGTCTTCAGGAAAATTACTAACCTGTTTGGACTTCTAAACTCTGAAAGACCTAGGTTTATTTAATATTTCTTTTTTAACAAGTCGGTGAGGGTCATTGGCAGAGAAGTTCCTCAAAGATCAAAACTACGCTCATATTCCTGACCAGTCTTCCTCCAGCACTCAGCTGTTCACACCAGGCTCCCTCTAGTGTTCCCAGGTGCACACAGCACAAAGTAACGGCAGCTCTGGGAACCAGCATTAATAAAACAAAAGGTTGTGTTCTTTATTTTTTATT